ATGGATCCCGGCCGATCCCGATGGCTTCTGGCCAGTCCTGATGGATCCCGGCGGATCCCGATGGATCCTGGTGGATTCCGGCCGATCCTAATCGGTCACGGCCAATCCCAGCGGATCCTGGCGCACCCTGATAGATCCTGGCCGATCCCAATGGATCCTGGCTGATTCCAATGGATTCCAGCCGATCCCAGTGGATCCTGGCAGACCCTGGTGGATCCCAACAGATCCTGGTCGATCCCAGTGGATCCCGAGTCCTGCAGAGCCCCGAGTCCCGCTCGGCTGCAGTCTCCGAGTCCAAATCTCGGGGGAGATTCGGGGTCAGATCCCAAATACCGGCTCAATTTCCACGTCAGATCCCAGATCCCGGCTCTGTTTCCGCGTCGGATCCTGAATCTCTGGCCCGTTTTGGGGACAGATCCCAGATTCTGGCTAAATTTCCATGTTGGATCCTGGTTCCCTGGATGGTTGGGCTGCCAGATTCCCAAATCCCAGCTCGGTTTCCATGTTGGATCCTGAATCTCCAGCCAGTCGTGGCTTCCRATCCCAGATTCCAGCTAATTTCCCCCGATGATTCCCAAATCTTTGGTCAGTTTGGGCTTCAGATTCCCAGATTTGGGCTCAGTATCTGCATTGGATCCTGCCTCTCCGGACAGTTTTGGTGGCAGATCCCAGATCCCAGGTTAGTTGCAGTCTTTGATCCCAAATTCCTGGTCAGCTTTGCTGTTAGATCCTGAATCTTTGGTCAATTTTGCTGTTGGATCCCAAATTTCCCTCCAATTTCAATCCCATCTTGCAGATCCCTGGGCAGCTTCCGCAGGGAATTCCCAGATCCTGGCTCTGTTTCCACGTTGGATCCCAAATTTCCGGTCACTTTCACCCTCAGAGATTCCCAGTGAGTTTCAATCCCGGATCCTGCATCACTTTCTGCCCCAAATCACGAATCTGCGGTCAGTTTTAACCAGAATTCCTGGATTCCTGCGCAATTCTGGCGCCGTATCCCAAAATCCTTGGTCAATTTTGGTGCCAGACCAGAGGCTCTCAGTCAGTTTCCATCCTAGATCCCAAATCCCGCCTCGTTTTTGGGGTTGGATTCAAAGTTATCCATGAATTCTGGCACTGGATCCCAAATCCCGCGTCAGTTCAGGCGCTGGATTCCAAGTTATCCGTTGATTCTGGTGCTGAATTCCTGAGTCCTCAGGAGCTTTTGGTGCCGGATCAGAGAGTGGCTCCGTGTGGATCCGTGGGGCTCCGTGGAGATCCCTATGGATCCGTGGAGCTCTGTGCAGCTCCAGGCTTTGGGGAGCTCCGTGTGGATCTACGGGTCTCCAAGCGGCTCTCTGTGGATCCAAGAGCGGCTCCGGGTTCTCCGCGGAGCTCCAAGCTCCCAGTGGCTCCAAGCGGCTCCGAGCGGCTCCGTGCGGCTCCAAGCAGGATCTACGGGTCTCCAAGCGGCTCTCTGTGGATCCAAGAGCGGCTCCGGGTTCTCCGCGGAGCTCCAAGCTCCCAGTGGCTCCAAGCGGCTCCGAGCGGCTCCGTGCGGCTCCAAGCACTCTATGTGGATCCCTATGGATCTGAATGCTCCACGTGGATCCAAGCTTTCCGTGCAGCTCCGTGCGGCTCCATGCAGCTCCGTGCGGCTCCGTGCGGCTCCGCGCGTCCTGGTGCTCCCGGCTCCGGGAAGGGCTTTATGGCCCCGCGGGCGGCGGGACCGGTCGGGCCGGGCGGGAGCTGCCGGAGCCCTTGGAGCCGGTCGGGCCGGCGCCGCGTTGGGAAATAACGGAGCGGAGCCGGAGCCGCCCCGCCGGCCGCAGGACATGGGGACGGGGGACACTGGGATGGCACTGGGGACACCTGGATACAGGGACAGGGGGACAACTGGACACGGGGCAGGGGGACATCGGGATGACACAGGGGACACCGGGACATGGGGATACTGGGACAGGGGACATTGGGGTGACACGGGACACTGGGACATGGGGACACTGGGATGACACATGGACAGAGGGACACCTRGACACAGGGACATGGGGACACAGGGACAGGGGACACCGGGATTGCACAGAGGACACTGGGGTGACACCAGAGACATCTGGACAGAGGGGACACCTGGACACAGGGACTGCGGACACCAGGATCAGAGCCAGCGGGTTGACACAGGGGACAGCGGGACACAGAGCCATGGGATGCAGGGACAAGGGGATGCGGGGACATGGAATGTGGGGACACGGGATACAGGGACACATTAACACGGGCTGTGGGGACAAGGGGGACACCGGGTCACCCACGTGGGGCCACGTTGACTTGGGGACACTGGGTATGGGCACCGGGGACAAGGGGACGTTGGGACACAGGGGCAGGGATGGAGGACACGGGGACATGGGACAGGGGGACATGGGGACACCTGGACAAGGGGACACCGGGATGGGGGGGACCCTGTCCCTGTCCCCCACCCCCCGGGTGCTGCTCGTCCTGTCCCGGCCACGCGTCGCGGCTGGGCGGGGGCTGGGCCCGGCCCGGACGCCTGGGCCCTCCCACCCCCCCCCACCTCAAAGCGGGACGCGGAGCCGCCCGGGAGGCGCCAGAGGAACCGGTCGCACCGGGACCAGTAACAGGCACCCGGACGCCTGGGCCCCTTGGGGGGGGGCACCTGGACACCTAGGCCCGTTGTGGGGGGCCACCTGGGTGCTTGGGGTCCCCAAAGAGGCACCCGGACGCCTGGGCCCTTTTGGGGGGCGCCGGGACGCCTGGGCCCGCTAGGCTACGTGCGGCTGCGCCGGGTGCCGCGAGCGAGGGCGTCGCCGCCCGCGGGGGCCCAGGCGTCCGG